ACCTCTTCAAATTGGACGCTTGATAATCGGCTGATCTCTAGGAGACAAAATGGAAATTGCAGTTCTTTCTTAAGATGTGGAAGCACAGACAAATTTGTCTGACGTTTGTTTATAACTAATCCAAATCATTAGATACTAATTCACATGCCTAGTTGCCTGTTGTTATAGTTTACAGACAGAGCCGTAGCTAGACCGATAATGGGGGGGGGGTATATTCATACGTTCGTGTTCTGCCCGACAGACTTATTTTGAAAACGATTGTTTATTGCGGTATATGAACACGAATATAATGATAATCGCTTTATAAATGAATATATAAATATACTAGAAATACATGCATGCAACGACCTTTCCAAACGTTGTTTCAACATGAAGTATTCGTAATTATGCCAACACTGATCGTAGGATCGCGTTGTCATGTCATGTTAGTCATGCATGGCAACACGATAATTTTATTTTTACAAACCTGCAAAAAATAGACGAAACTTGAACACTTTTAATTACTGAACTATCAATTTATAAAATATAAAGTAGGGCTATATTATTTTGCTTTCTATGAGCTTTATTTCAATGTAAAATTCAAAACAAAGCTGTATATGTAAAACCTTTTTAAATGTTAATTGAAGTTATTACTACTTTTGCCGATATTAAACTAATAAACTCTTCAACTCGACTCTCTAGCTTCAACTTATTACTCGCACTTTAAAAATGAAATCAATTTACAGTAATTCGTACAGGACGCCAATGGAAATAAATTACTGTCCTTTTTATCATGAACTTCTACAAAACTTAATATAACTAAGAAACTTTCGCATAAAATGCATAGGAAAGGCTTGAACAACAATAACAAAGCCTATAATGAAATACAAAGTCATACATGAACAATTGAAACAAACTTGTCTTATAGGCTATACTTTAGATTTCAGATTTTTAATGATTTGCAATATATACAAAAAAAAAGAATTAAAGAACCTACAATCAGTACAAAAAATAGTTAAAATTACTTGTTATAATAGAATAAATGATAACTTAGTTAAATTATGCCCAGGAGTCAAAGTAAGAAGAAGCTTTCGAGTTGACTACTGTCTATGTGAGATTTTTTAGCGTATTTGAGCTAAGAATATTAGAAAAAAAACACACACACACACAAAAAGATTTGAAGGAATGATGGTGTACGCAGATTCATAGACCATGCTAGGAATATGCAAATCGAAATACAAATTAGAATCGTGCTAAGATGAAATCACCACAGATGTTCATAGATATCAAAAACACTAATTTTCTTTGAAAAAAAAAATTCTTTTTCTTTCCACCAATTGGAGCTAATCGTCGTTCTGCTGCCTTAGTAAATACAACATATACTTTTGTTTAAAAGTCTTAAAAGGGAGATGCTTCATGTGATAAGGTATAGTTTCCCATAGCACTGATGCAGTATATTTGAAAGTAAACTTGCCATAATTAGTTCTTACTTGAGGTCTACAGAAATTTAGTTTAGATGCAAGTCTTGTGTTGTAATTATGCAGTAAGTGAACTTGATTGAGAAATTCAGAGAATGCCACCGGAACGTTGGAATCATGATCACTAAATTTAGATGGAAAAATTGCAGTTTTTAGTTTGATAATATTTTCTAGCTTAAGGACTCCTAGAATATTATAGTAAAGATTTATATTTTCCCTGCTATCTACAAAAAAGATGCATCGAATGCATCTATTTTGCTTAGTAGAAATTTTTGTTAATTTGCTTTTGTAAGTATTTCTCCAGCTTGTAACATCATAATTCAAATATGGATAGACCAATGTATAATATAGATGCTTTAATATTTTTAAGTTTATGTAACCCCGCAATTTGTACAAAATTCCTAAATTCTTTGAAATTTTGCTATTAATATGTTTTATTTGATTTTCCCAGTTTAAATGGTCATCAATAAATACACCCAAGTATCTAACACAATGTTTTTGCTCAAGATTTAAAATACAAATTTTTCTACATTTTCGTTGTGGAGAGTTTATTATCATATAATTTAATTGATAGTTTATTTATCTTACAGTATGTCATAACATCTTGGAGTTCATTATTCATAACATTTTCAAGTTCATCGATATTCTTTGATTGAAAAAATAGATTTGTATCATCAGCAAATATTCTGAATGACAATTTTGATGACGAATTTGGCATGCCATTTATATACAAAAGGAATAGTAAGGGTCTAAGTGTTGAACCCTGTGGTACACCACATACGATAGTCTGAGACATTGACTCAGCTTTCACTATTTTTACATACCGGGTTCGATTTTTCAAATAGCTAGTAAACCAATCAAGAGTAATTCCTCTTATACCATATTTGTAAAGTTTCTTCAATAAAATATCATGATTTACGGTATCAAAAGCTTTAGAAAAGTCAAGAAATACACCACATGTAGTAAATCCGTCATCAGTTGCAGTTTTTAGTTTCTCACTTAGCTCAAGAATTGCTTGTTCAGTTTAATGATTTTTCCTAAATCCAAATTGATATTTAAATGATATGTCATGTTTGTTAAAAAATGACGTAAGCTGGTCATATAATTCTCTCCAGGATTTTACTAAATGGTACGTGATAGTATTTCAATAGGCCTGTAATTGCCAGGGTCAGTTTCTGTGCCACTTTTAAAGATGGGTGTTATTCTAGAAACTTTAAAAAATTCAGGAACAATTCCTGTTGCAATTGATTCATTGTAAATATGTGTAAAAGGTACAGCATAGTTAATAGAGGAGATGGTTTGAAAACTCATTAGCATTACAATAAACCTCACTATCTATGTTTTTGTTAAGGTTTATGCAAAAATGTGGTCTTTCATCGTCACGTGCGTATTGTATTTTTTCTCAACCAGCCAATAGCAACGGTTTTGTCCAATTGTCCATCCATGACTTTGACAATAGGACATTTTGAACATTCCTATTGGTTGACTTGAGAAAAACACAATACGCACGTGACGATGAAAGACTACATTTTTGCATAAACCTGAACAACATACATAATGAGGTTTATTGTAATTTTATTGTAATGCTAACGAGTTTCCAAACCATCTCCTCTATTAACTATGGGTACAGCAAGAGGTAAATATGCCATTCTGATTAATTTGTTTGGAATATCTAATGACGCTTTATTATCATAAAGTTTTGAAAACAAATAAGAAACATTATCTTCAGATACTGGGGATAAGAATAGACTGGATGAAGGAACTTTATTTATATATTTTGTCGGATCATGATTGATTTACCCAGTTGAATTTGCTAGTTTCGGACCGATGTTGATAAAATAATCATTAAATTGCTCTGCAATATCATTTTCGCTAGTGAATATTTCGCCATTGTTTATAAGCCGTGAAAGGCATACTTGATCTTTAGTTTTACGCGGCTTTATCAACGTTCCTATAACTTCCAGGTGTGCTTAAGATTACTTGCATTTGAGTGAAAACGTTTAGTGAAGTAGTCCTTCTTATTTTAGATTTTAGTCGATTTAGCATATTCGAATATTTTTTGCATTTTCTTATTAAATCTGCATTTTTTGACAGAAAGTGAGTGTGATACATTTTTTGCTTTATTTTGATCGATTTTAATATACCTGTTGTAATTCAAGGTTTATGTAACTGTTTAATTTTGGAGCATACCTATCTACAACTGGACTTATTGCATTTATTGTTTTGGTTGTCTATTTATGTAGATCTTTACTTTCATTAAAAATATTGTTCCAGTTAATGTGATTAATATGACTATATGAGATAAATATTTAGTTTTATCAAATTTCCTATAATCCCTTAAATAAACCTGTTTTCTCTGTGTTTCCGTTTAAATATTACATAAGCAGAATGTTGGAAGGTGATTAGAAATGTCAACAGTGGCAATTCCAGCAGAAACTTTCTCAATTGAGACATTTGTGTAAATATGGTCTATTAATGTTGAACTATGACTCTAGTAATTCGGGTTAGTTTTGTTATTATAGGTAAGTAGCTATTTGTAAAGACCATGTCAAGGTACTCCTCAGTTTGTGTATGTTCATTATATTTAAAGAAGTCAATATTCATATCACCCGTTAGGAACACTTGATACTCTTTTTGGTTTAATTTTTTGATAATTTTGTCCAATTGTGAAGTAAATTCAGAAAGCATTGCTTTTGGGTGTCTATAAATGCAATTATTATATTTGGTTTTCCAGAACCCGTTTCGACCTCAGCCCAGCATGACTCAACTAGTTGCATTTGAAATTTTATATCGGACCGTGTAATAAAATTTAGGTCAGTGGATATGTATATACCAGCCCCAACAGCTGATGTTACAGAATCAATTATGAATAAAATTATAATTACATAAATCAATATTAGATACAGTTTCATTATTTAAACAGATGTGGGAGAACGATCTATTGCCTAGTATAAGGAAAGAAATTCGAGCGGAAATGTCTTTGTTACATGACAATATAAAGAGCTTGAACACTCGTCTAGACAAAATTGAAGACTCCCAGAAATTCATCGCTGGTAAATACGACCAAATACTTGAGTCAATGCAAGTGACGATTGAGAAAAACTTAAAAGATCATGATGTAACAATATCAAGCTTCAAGCTACGTATAGCTGACACCGATCGAGCTTGCGATTGACGAAATCCAACAGTATCAGCGCAGGGATTGTCTAGAAGTCATAGGAATACCAATACTACCTTCAGAACGACCCAAGCAACTGATGATCGGATTTAGCGACACAGATCGGCGTGGATTTAAAGGAAAATGAAGTATCAACAGCACACAGACTTCCTGATACAAAGAAAATTAAGAACCGTATCATTGTGAAATTTATTTCTCGGGATAAAAGAGAGGAGTTCTATCGGAATCGATCTAAACTCAGAGGAAAGACATCCAATAATTTGCCATCAATTCAAGGGGAAGCTGATAACAACTCATCTCCACAAATGAGATCAAGTAAAATTTTCATCAACGAATCGTTGACAACAACTCGCAAGATCGAGACTGTTTGCCAAAATTCATGCATTTAAGAGGGAAAATAACTTCAAGTACTTATGGACTGCAAATGGTAAAATCTACTTGAGAGAATTTGACTCATCGACAACGTACAGTTTTACTCACGAAGGTGAATTTCAAGCCTATACTAACTCTCATTGTTAAAGTCAGGTACCTGATCATATAATAAGTAATTAATGATATATTAAGTGATCCATTATGGAGGATTTAAACTCGAATGACTTATCATGTTTACCATTCTATAACCTAAATGATAAGGAACTAAGGGCTTTAAATGGCTCATGGTTCCATGATATAGATTTTAGCAAATAATTATATAATTTAATACCCAATCCTGATAAATTTAATGATGCAGATCCTGATCTTGCACTTACTACACCAGTTATCTAATTACTACACCATACCACAAATAAACAAATTTATAGATATAAATAAACAACATGACTTATTTCTTTTTCACTGAAAATATAAGGAGTCTTCCAAAGAAATTGTCACTCTTAAATGATGTATTATATTCTCTTAATAAAAACCCAGATATACTAGCTGTAACTGAAACAAGATTAATTAAACGCACTAACAGTAATATTTTTGTTTCCACTCATTTTGAAAGCATAAATAGAAAGCTATTAGCTCAAATACCAGATTTTTTATTACAATTATACGGACATTACAAAAACACGTCCGGTAAAACCTTTTCCATATTATTACACCTGCTAACTTACTGGTTTTTTGTATCTCAATTTCTACAGTGCCTATGTTTATTTTTCAGTAAATCTATGAATTCATATGCTTATTATCAGCCAAACGTTGATTATAAAGTACAAAATTTTAGTTATGGATATATTATAATGGGCTCAACATTTAGTCATCGGTTTACATGCAAAACGAAGGCCGGTTATAAAAGGTTTACTACCGTTTACTTCGTCAGAATTTTGGACGAACTAAAACACAAAAACAGCAGAGCCCTATTTTCTTCGCAAGGGGAAATCGGGATCTGCTGTCAGTATATTTCAAATGAAGATCGAGTTGAATACTTTGTGTAAATATAATGCATATTATTGTAATTATTCAAGTCGTAGCGACAAGTTATTTATTCTTCAACTGTTATTTATCTCGACGCAAAACACGACATTGCGATGCGCAGTCGAAACTCAGGATTCGATCACATAGATAAAATACGTTTGATGGTAAACTGCGTTGCTTCTCATAACTTGTCAGCAAGAATTCAAATCGTACAGAAAGTACAGGAAACAAAGACAGACAATCCGCCAAGGGTGTAAACGTTTTCCCCCTTTCATTAAAAGTATATTGCGATAGCAGTATATTATGTTAAATCTGTTTATATGGAAAGAGTTAGAAAATTGAATAAGTCAAGAATTTGAACATGCTAGTTACCCAAAACAGGTTTTTCTAATTGCTTTTTCGCCTGTGTTTGTGGCAATGCCATTCATGCGACCAACAAGGTAAATACATTTGATGTTGTCATATATTGCATCATCTTATCATATGTTGCCATCCTCTCATAATATGATGCCATCAACTTATGTTGCCTTCCTCTTATGATAGTATAAACTAACTTATTTCAATGAGTTGGTTAAAAAGTTGTGATTTCTCCACGACATTAGATGATAAATTTAAGTCCTGTTCTCTTTTATTTTTTGTAATCATATCTGTTCCCTCTAGTGTTAGTATCTTAATTCTTAATTTGTGATGCATATTGTAGTTCTTCCACTGACAGCAACTCGTTATTTATTCCTCAACTGATATTTATCGCGACGCAGAACACAACATTGACGTGCGCTGTCGAGACTCTAAATTCGCGTGGATAAAACACGTTTGACATTGTACTGCTTTGTCTCTCGTAACTCATGAGCAAGTATTCAATTAATATCGTGTAATGAGTATCAGGAACATTGACAGACTTTCGCCAAGGGTGGAAATTTTTTTCCCGCTATCATTAAAAGTGTATTGTGATACCAGTATCTATTAAAATAAAATCTGCCATAGCAATGAGGTATTGAGGTAGTAAATAATTATACCGCGGTATTTAAGAATTAAGGTAGTGTTTCTCATTCTTGGCGGAACCGTCGTTAAGAGACGAGGGTGCAAGTATTTTTCCTATTAATCTCCTCCATAGCAGCTCGTGTGGTGGGAGGGACCCTAATGTCTGGAATAAAGATACTACAACTTTTTACAACTTTTTATTAATTAAACTTATTATTAATACAAAAATAACTTACCCTCCAAGTAGCTACAGAGCTAATCGAGGCAGGGCAAGATAAATACAAAAATAATACAATCATATAAGACAAAAGAAAGAAGTATTTATAATTACAGAAATTATTTATTATTTACAAAGAAAACTAAAGCAATTTCAGACTTATTAAATTATTTATTATTTACAAAGAAAACAAAAGCAATTTCAGACTTATGATACTCTATGCCTTTTCGTGGTTATATTTAAATTCATACCGTGCTCCCCTAGAGAGTTTAGAGAGTTTAGAAAAAGTTTAGCTCCCCTAAAAAGTTTCTATCTTCTATCTATTTAAAATATCTCCGCTACGATCTCTTCGTCATTCGCGCTTGTGTCTCAAATCTTTTATTTGTTTCCCCTTCCCCATCCGCTCAAAGTCCAGGCTCTCATTATGTCACTGATTGTTGAAAATATCAAAATTTCGAAGATCGAGTCAAGTTCTCAATACATCTCAAGAACTTGCCATGGGAGAACTTTCTCTTACCGCTAACAAATATTCAAACAAGCCTTTCTGATTGGACGCTTGATAATTGGCTGGTCAATAGGCGACAAAATGCTATGGTCTCCTCATCATCGCCCTCGTGTTTCAAACTTTTATTTGGTTTTTACCTCTCCCTCCTCCACTCAAATTCCTGATTATGTTATTGATTGTTTTTGCAAACATCAAAATTTTGAGGATTGAATCAAGTTATTTATTGACCGCAGGGTTGGGAGAGCGTGAAGAAGAGTTGGTCTGATTTTATTTTCTCTTATCTTTAGGCGACAGATTAAATGGAAATTGTAGTTCATTCATAACATGTAGAAGCGCAGACATATTTGGCTAACGTTTATTTATAACCAATACGCAACATTATAGATCACTATTACCATCCGTGGTCAAGAGGTCGACGTCGTTTCCGAGGCCAAATTATTGGGCGTTGTTCTTTCAGACGATCTTAAATGGAACCACCATATTGAATACATTTGCAAGAAAGCCGCGAAGCGTTCGTATGGTCTCCGCTTTCTTAAAAGAAATGCTTTGCCTTCTCACAGGGGCGGCGGAACAGGGGGCTAGGGGGGCTGGGAAAATTTTGATAATTGAGGAAAAATTTAGGGTATTTTTTGAAAATTTAGGTATAGGGGGAAAAATTTGCAATATTTTGTTTAAAAATTGTGTCGGGAAAAATCTTTTGTTATAGGTCCGGAAAAAATTCTTTCATCCCTTTTCCTGTATATGTCCGGAAAAATTTTTGTACCCCTAAAATGGTACACTGACCGAAATTTTTTTGGCGACGGGGGAGGGAGGTCACGGAAAAAAAATTTAGCCCCTCCAAAATGAAATCTGTTCCGGAGCCCCTGCCGTCATATCCTGATCTCTACCTATTGCACTCATATTCGAACAATTGTGGAATATGCTTGTCAGGTGTGGTATTATGGCCTTCCTCAGTACCTGAGTGATCAAGTCGAAAAATTAAAAAAAGGGCATTAAAAATTATTTTTCCTGGAACTACCTATGCTGAATGTTTGTGTAAAGCAAACTTAATGACTCTTTATGAACGTAGAACAGTTCTTTGCAAGCGCCTTTTTTCGAAGATGTAATTGGAACCCACTCATAAACTGAATGCCATAGTAGGCCTACCGCCTAAAATTCTTCAAACTTATCATCTGAGGTCGTATTCCAACCTATTAGCACCTAGGTGTAGAACTGAACGTTTTTCGAACAGTTTGATTCCTGCTGCGTCTCGTGCTTTTTATAATAAGTAAACTTTAGTTTATTATCGTAATTTTTAACTGACTTACCTATTTTTCCTGTAAATATAGAATAGATTGCAATAATACCTATGTTCTTATACCTTGTTATTTCAAAGTAATTCAGTTGTTACTGCCAGTTTGGAAATTTATAATAATAATAATAATTCACATGCCTTGCAGATACGACCTAATAATTATGATGAAAACCAGTCATTTACTATATCTCTAATTCCACAATGTTGCAGTTTTTAGTAGCATAGAATAATTAACCATGTCAAAAGTTTTTGCAGATTGATAAAGATGCCGCAAGTATAGGTTCTTGCCATGTTTCACTGGATTTAATTAAAATTCAATTTCATCCGCCAATATTGATTTCCGACATATATGAAGGGAAGATTAAATATTAAAGAACTCCGCGAGTATTTGCAGTAGAAATACTAAAATACCACTAAAAAATTCCGCTTGATCGATACTATATGTTCCGAAATATTCGTATATTTTATTGCTTTCTCGCCAGGAACGCCGGAAAGGGGGGCGCCGGGGGGGGAGGCATCGCGCCCCTTGCCCTTTAGTAAGGAGGCAGGGGGGGCGAAAGTGCTCTTAGAGTAAAAAACTTTAACCAAATGAATATGAGGTACAACGATTAAAAAGTATGAATTATGCGTGAAATGGACGTAATATTGAAATACACGTGAAATTTTCTGGAATATTAGTAAAAAATTAGGTTAACTTTCAAATTTTTTGCCCTTGTTTTGGTGAATTAAGGTTCCGGAAAATGTTTTGCCCTTGTTTTGGTGAATTAAGGTTCCGGAAAAAATTTTCGGAAACGAAATATTAATTAGTGATTGCCCTTACGTCAACTTTGCCCCCCCCGTGCCCTACCCTCGCTCCGGCGTCACTGTTTCTCGCTCAATTTAGAGCGAATTTCATACCTTGAAACGATCAATGCAGTGAAATTTATGAAAATGACGCATAACCAATTTTTCTGTTGCATTTTCAATGTTCCACCTGGTTCAACTGCTCGTATCTTCGCTTCTTTTCAACGTATAATTGAGAAAAATATACTAAAAAAATCTATCACTCCGAGTTGTCTCGGGAAATTGCGAAGTAATCTATGCCTATTATGGCGATTCTCGTGGTGGGACTGTTCGGCCAACTTCGCACGCTA